AAAAATAAACTTAAATAAGTATATATAAAAAAGTTAAATTCTGAGCTCCACCCAATAAGTAGAATCGTTTAGGGGAGAAATCTAGAAGTGTGACCCTTCATTAATTATTCCAGGGGATTTCCAGCAGCCAGTGTAGTACTTTTCCTAGACTCTCCCATTTTATAGATGAGGAAACAGAGGCATAGAAAGGTCATATTATTACAGGATCAGAGAGCTTGGGAGTGATTGAGACTGAAACTCAGCTCTTTTAGGTGAGTGAGTTATGAAGGGGAGGATTTTTGGATTGTATGAGATTAGACAAGATGACTTCCAAGACAGCTACACGATCAGTACGTCCTTGAGAACTGTTGAAAGCCAGTGTCTGAACAATGCTTCCAAAGATGCCAGCAAAATGGCACATGGGTTTTTCTCTGTGGGAGTTTGCAATCTGTAACAAGAAAGAAAATTTCTGCACAGATAACCTCAGTGGAAAGTGACAGGCAAGATATGTGCACAGCTGCCCTCCCCATGTGACTGCCAATTTGGCTGCCATCTTCTGTCCTGAGCTTATGGAGTGATGCAGCTGTCCTCACATGGCATCCCCTGCCGTTGTAGCCCCTCATCCTACTCTTCCACAGGGACACTCACCAGCCACTTGGTCTAGAGTCTCTTACACCGCTCATGTGATCATTCTGAAAACTCCCTTTCTATGGTCATAGCTTACTTACCATCATCTGCAAATTCCCTCATGTATTTAACAAATGCGCTGTCTACCACTATTAGATAATGCTCATTGAGACAGCTAATATCAGTTGCCATTTACTGAGTACCCACTATGTGCTTTGTCTTATTAATTTGCTCAATCTTTGTCAAAGGAAAAGGCGCCTCTACCTATGTGAACAGGTTTTGAAGTGGATTTCCTGCTTGTTAGGAGTGTACATCTCTCTGACCAAGGCAAACGATGGACTTGTGTGGAGTTTTAAAGGGCATGGGGTGTGAGGAATTGGTGGAAATGCAGATGTGAGAGTGTTTGGGTTGAGTGGCTTTCAGAGGGAAATGTGATTCCTGGGACAAGACTGTGGTTGATGGCACTGACTTTCAGAAGTCCAGGGAAAAAAAAGAGCATAGAAATGGAGGGTACTGAGAGCAGAAGGGAGAGGACGGGGGGGGGGGGGGGGGGGGGGAGGAAGAGAGAAAGAGAGAGAGAAAGAGAGAGAGAGAGAGGATGAGGGAGGGAGAGAGTGAGGGAGGGAGAGAGTGAGCACAGGGAGAGGGAGGGAGAGAGAGATCCTTTGGTGCATGGTTTCCTTGAATAATCCAGAGGCCATTAACTCTATCGTGTCTGCCTGATTGTTCCCAAGCTCTTCTTTTAGTCCCCACTGTCCATCAACTATGTTCTGTGTAGGCTCCATCCAGGCCAAAGGAGCCTCATGCTTGATTAAGTCCAGTCTTGAGTTCTCAAGTGTGAAGCATGTAGATAACCAGCTATAGCAGCCCAGAGGAGGTGCCATTGCTGGCTGTTCCAAGGAAGCAGGCAGTGCCTCTTTCAGTTAACAGGTAGCAAATGTCTATCAAACCCCTATAAACTGCCAGTCATGTTCTAGGGGTATGGAGACAACACTGCAGCTGTCAGACACAAAGTCATGCTTGCACTGAGCTTTTGGGAGACAGAGAGCTAACAAACACATGGATACCTGGGCATCACATGTTACATAATTGTCACTACTCTAGAGTGAAGGGAGAAAAAGAAGGTAGTAGAAAGAAGTGGTTGCTATCATGTAGGATTGTTAAAGAAGACCTAGCTGAGAAACTGCTATTTGAGGAAAGAATTAAGTCCTGGTGAAGAAATCAAAGATGTTGGAGCTGCGCAGCTTGGATGACAGTTAGGAGAGGTGAGGGAGAGAGGTCACATGGGCTAGGTAGGTCATTATGAAGGCTTTGACTGACTTGGGCAGATGAGAAGTTGTGAATCCAGCAGAGGCGTTCTCCTGCGATCTCACCTGTTTCCTCACAGGAGCTGCAGTCCACAGGGCAAGAGGAGCACAGGAGGCTGAGGTTCCCTGGGAAACTACTGCAGTGATTCAACCATTGAATGGTGCTTTGGAGGAGTGTGGTAGGTGGGGTGATGAAAAGCACTCGATTTACGGAGCTGCCTCCATCTGGAGACTTCATTAGCATCACATAAAGTCTCTAGTTAGAAGCCGGGGATGCCAGCCTCAGTAGACCACAGCTTTGTAGAGTGGGGGTTGAGGGGGAAGCAGAGGCATGTGATCATAATGACAAATGATAATAGAATAAAATGTGACTACTGAGGAAAGAGGACCCAGAGGTTTCTTATAGTATTTTCTTTTAGACAATTGTGTGAATTACAAGGATTTCTTTAATCAATTGCTATAAAGACAGTGATGATTTAAATTAAATTTCACTGCTATTCTGGTTGTGACTGACATTTTAAAATTTTATTGTGTGTGTGGTGTGTGGATTTGTGGGGGATAGGGGAGGGAGAGAAAGAGAGAAACTGACTCTGACCCTCTGGGAGGGCTAAGAGCTGCTATAATTCCCTGGGCAATAAAAGCCTGAAATTCTACTAATGAGGTTCAAAAAAATCTCACATTTCCATGTGCCTAATAATAGCACTGCCTACTGATATAACCAGGCTTCTTGGAATAATTGCCCTCTTTCCCACTTTATTTGTTAGACCTTAAAAACTTTTTTTTTTTTTTTGAGGGAAAGTATCTTTGGATACAGAGTATTTCCATCTAAAAGTTCAGTTTTAGGGCTGCAACATTTGGGCCTCAGCCATGTTAACTGCACCTGGAAGGAAGGGGGAGGTGGAGTTGAGGTTTCTGCCTGAACTCTGGGGTTTTCCCTCCTTGGGGGATTAGGTAGATCCTGTGCTGCACACCTGGTTTCTCAGACTGGGGATCTGCCTTTGTGGACATCATTTGTATTTGTCAGTAATAGAACTAACAGGCTTATCAAGCCACATGATTTTAACAGAACATTGAACTTTCAGGAGAAAATGTTCTGAGGGATAATAAATGTGGATACTCCTAGATCCCTCAGTAAGCATAGAAATAACTGAAATGCTTACATTTGGAGACTTTTAAAAATAGATCACCAGCTTTGGCTAGGTGGGTTTAGAATGTAAGGCACTTTGAGAGGTGCAGTGCTGAAAAATACTTTTCAAAACCGTTTCTGTAAATTCCAACTAAATGAACATGTGGATTATGAGGTGCAGAATACTGATTAGAGACAGAGAATGTGATCAAATCAGAGCTCTCATGGCAAATATTGGTTGAATAGCTGGATTAGGTTGCCAGGATTATTTTTGTGGAGGGCTATTTTGGGCAGGCAGTAGCCTTCCTTCTCAGATGTAGATTTCCATGTTGACTTTTAGCCTTTAGTCACCATGCAGCAGTCCTGAGTGTGTTCTGTCTGCCTGAACTGCAAGTGTGAAAGGTTTAAAAGGCACTAAAGACCAGCTTTCACAAGCCCATTCTGTTTCTTTCTTACTGTCCTTTCTTTGGGAAGTGGCTGTGAGAGTAGGGAGCGGCTTTCAATGGCAAAGTATTGTCTCTAATATAGAGGGTCATTGAATTTTATTTTATTTATTTATTTTTTATTTTGGTGGTACTGGAGTTTGAGCTCAGGGCCTCATGCTTGCTAGGCAAGCACTCTACCACTTGAGCCAGTCCACCAGCCCCTACAGAGGGTCATTGAAACATAGGTGTCAAATGTGAAAAAAAAAAGTGAGTGACATTTCTATATTGTCCTTCTTTCTAAAGAATGATTGATTAAACGGGAAAATAAGGTTGAACTTAACACATTACAACACAGCAAGTGTACATGACAGTTAAGCTGTGTTTGCAAATATCTCTTTGCACATCTTTGAAAGTTGTTTGCAAGAGTGAGTAAAATGGACCCGAGCCCCTCCACACTCCCTGATGCTAAACAAGATGCCACAGCAAAGGAACATGCAACTTTCTTTTTGTGTAAACTGAAATTTAGTCCACAGGGAAGGTGACCAAGAGCTACTCGTGCCTGCAGGGAGAGGGCACTTCCATTCAGAGACATGTCCTTCATAGAAGCAACTTTTCTTTGTTTTTGAAGATTTCAATATTTGCTTTCCTGAAGGTGTCCAGATGACCCCTTTAGTTCCTTCTAGGACTCAGATACATCAAATTCAGAATGGACCTTTATAAAATTCAATTTTGTATTCCAATCCAGAAATGCATTAGTGCTTCCCTGGGGAAAACAATTTGTGTATGGCCAGGTGCTGTGTTTTCTTTACTCCTGCACAGAGCTAGCTTCATCCTTGGGCTCAGAAATGCAAAGGAAATTTGCACAAGGAAAGGAAGGCTGAGACTTGCTACCTCAGTTATAGATTGGTCTACTCAATGTACCACATTTGGAAAGTTAGAACAAATCTTGTATACTTTATACTTCAAGGGAACACTTTAACAGCATAGAAGCCATGTTAAGTCCAGGTACAAATGAAGGGCTCATTCCCCAAATACCCAGTCCCCTGCCTGGGCCCCATACCCTGCTATAGGCAAGAAGAGATGTATCTAAAGAAAGGATCCAATGGCAATTATTTGTACATTTGTGGGAATGCCAGAGAATGTTTTATTCTTATAATTATGGAAGATATTATGTTTTTCAACTTCAAAACCATCTAATATGGAAATTGTACACAGTGATAACCTTTCTATCAGGCTTGACATTATAGTAAGTTAGGGGTCATCCACTCCATGTGCTAACTCAGCCCAGCACACAGGAGCATGTGTCGTAAGATGGGTTTACTTACCCTATAGAGCTTTGTGATTTTCTTAACTCTGCCAGGCTATTGGGCACCATAAGAAATTGTCAGCATCAATACCCCAAAGGGTGCGTTCATATTAAAAGAAGATGTGCCATTGGCACTGGGACAGTGCTCCCCCTCACACACCCTTTGCCTGTGTTTCGTGTGTAAGTTAATTAGATTATATTTCAAACACAATTTGTTTGTGTGCTTCCAGGAGATATTGATCAACAAGAGATGATTGCAAGTAAGAAGAGTGCTGTACTTGTGGATGGAATTGTGCTAAATGGCCCTACAACAGATGTAAAAGCAGGAGAAAAATTTGTTGAAGAGGCCTGTAGGCTAATAATGGAAGAAGTAGTTTTAAAAGCTACAGATGTCAAAGAGAAGGTAAGAATAAAAACCTTAAGAAGTCCTAGGACTGGGAAGGATAGGATTTCCCCATTTTGTTTGGCTGTATGTAAAGGGGGGAGAAGTACAGACTTTCCTTTCTCTCTGTCTCAACAGGATGTCCAGATACCAATGCTCGGGCCATTTCCTTTCCCAACCTCACGCAGTGTCTATTCTCCTGCAGGGTTGCCTCCTTTGTCAGGTCCTATTTATTGGGGGATTGGCTGAGACCCAGAGCTTAACCAGAAAAGGCCACAAGGCACAGGGATGAAGTTCCTGCCCTGGTTTATGATCTGGAGTGTAAATATCTGTACTCTGACTTATCTACTCCCGTGAGCATTCTCTCCATTTTCTTGTGCATATTCTTTATGTTGCTAGTGAAAGGCAGCAGAAGGTAGAAAAGTTTGTGAAAACTTGTTTTGTTTGCCTAATAGTCCTCCCAGAAGCTTAAACTAGAAATTTTGGGTTGTTCAATGGGACTCCTGGATGGTGCCATAGACTGGGTCTAGGTTTGAAACACAGGCTCAAATGGGTGATAGAATAACCACCAGTAGTATCTTCTCTAGAGTCCTTTGTTGCTGCATGCTAGGCTCTGTTCAAAGCACCACTCCACATGTGAAGTGTATTCAAGCCTAAGGAGCAGGTGCTGTTTACTATCCCCGTTTTAGAGATGAGGCAGAAAGTGAGGCACAAATGGGCCGAGTATCTTGCCCAAGATCACACACTAGCAAGGATCAGAGCTGGGGCTAAAAATCCACGCAGGTGGCTTCAGAGTCTGCTCTGCTTCGTGTGCTTCACAAGCCACTAAACTATCTTTTCTCCTACTGATCACATCTCATGTTGGTATTGGATTACCAATTCCAATGAGAGACACTGTTTCCCCAATTCCCCTATCCTCAGTTATATTAGTAGGAAATACATGCCATTAAAAATTTTTTTGATAACCCTATAGGTCACAACTCTGGTATTTTAATGTGCAATCAAATCACCTGGGATCTTGTTGAGATGTGGATTATGAATCAATAGGTCTTGGTGGAGCCTGTAAGTCCCTATTTTTAACAAGCTTCCAGGTCCGATTCATTTTATTAAGGTATTTCTAGTTTTTTTAATGCTCTCCCCACTCTTTCCGTAATTCTTACTGTTACTGTTTTGCAGTGCTAGGAATCAAGTGCTCTAGCATGGAGCTGCATCCCCTGCCCTGTTAACAAGCTTCCAGGAATGTCCCTGCTAATGAATGGTCTGAAGACCACATGTAGAGTATACCAGAGTTCTGGTTTGGTTGCTGTTGGGACTATTCTAAAGTGCTCCATACTGCACACTGTAATACCTTAAACTGCACAGGAATGACAATAATGAATATAACAGAAAATCAGCAGGTCTTTTAAATATCCCATTGATAATTATGAACAGTAATATATCTAGATGTTTTAATACCATGGGGCCAATTCATGATAAGTTTATTATGTAAAAAAGTGTTCTCTCATGACATTTTTATTTTAGGCTTTTCAAAATTGTTTGGATTATAGTCAGCCTCTAGTTTTGTTTTTCCTGTTGTGATGTTTGTGAATATTATTCAGTTTAGTAAAAAATGTATCAAACAAAAAAAAAAAATTTTTTTTGAATGTGGTGGTATTTATTCTGAATTTTGGGTTACATGCATTTTGGTAGTCTATTAAATAACATGTTGACATGGCCTCTGAATGCAGAAGAGTTATATTCAAGTCAAAATTGCTGATGGTATTTATTTATATATTTATCTATTTGTGGATTGAACCTGGGACCTCCCACTTACTAGGCAAGCACTCTACCACTTGTGCTGCACCCTCAGCCTGCTGATGGTATTTCTTTTTCATTCAGATTATATATTTATAATTGCATATTTTCTGATCTTCTCTGTACTTGTGAAATATTCTGGGCCTTGTTTGTTTTGGAGTACACTGCTTCTCTGACATTTTTTTAAATTGGCCTTTATTCAGTCATTAAATATTAACAGAGTGTCAGCTACTGGTAAGGCATTAAATTCAGCCCTAGAGGATATAAAGAAACAAAAGATTAAGGCTGAGCTCTGAACAGAATTCATAATCTGACTGGAAGGATATGTTTTCATTGGAGAAAGGAACAATGGGAATATGACAAATGCTGTGAGTTTGGGGCAGACTTTTGGCAGCTCACAGAAGAGTGGACCTTTGAGCTTTGATGTAGAGTGTAAAGGTTAAGTAGGATTTGGGTGGACAGAGAGAAACCAAGGTGGGTATCCTCATTTCTAGGGCTGTTAAAGACAGCTGGAAGGTAAATAATGGAAAGAGAGCTGCAGAGGGGCAAGATGTATTTAGCACAGCAAGGGGACTTTCTTGTCTGGAAAGAAAGACTCATAATGGGAAACAAGATGAGAAGGGGAGGCTGGTGACTTTAAGTTACCAACTAAGGAACTCCAAGTTGGTCATAGTATAGTAGAGATGCAGGCTATCTATCTGTGTGAAGTTGGGGTAAAAGCTATTTGGGATTGAGGGAGGCAGGTGAGGTTTTTATACAACCGACTTAGCCTACTTTTTCTGAGATCCAACAGGACACTATTAAAAGGTGACCTGCAGATACATCCCACACTTGATAAGGTGATTACTTCTAGGTACCTCATCAGTAGATATTCCTTTTTAGCCACTTTTCTAAAAATTGAGTTGCGATTTATAGTCAGTAAAATCACTCTTGGTGTGTAGTTTCATGAGCCTTTAGAAGTCATGCAATCATCACCATGATCAAGATACAAAGCAGCTCCATCTCTCCCCAAATTTTCCTATGCCCCCCACCCCCGCAAAACAACTCTTCCTGATCCTCTAGCCCCTGGAAACTAGGGATCTGTTTTCTGTCCCTCTAGTTTTTGTCTTTTCCAGATGTCATGTAGATGGGACTGTGTGGTAAGTAGCCTTTGAGTTGTGCTGTGTTTCCTCATCTGAGTTCACTGAGGCTCACCTGTGTCATTGAGCACATTGCCAGTCATTCTTGTAGGTGGCCTCGGGCACTGATGATTCACTTCAGCCTATCAGGGCTGCATCACCTGAGGTTAACTCCATGCCTCTGGCACAACTTGATTCTTCCTTCGGCTTCTCTAACTTCCCACCTCCCAGGCTTGTCACTCCTGGCTATTCCTCGGTCTCTCACCTCCCCTCCACAAGTGAGTTTTTTAAAGATATCTACACTTCCTCCCGCCCTCTACTTCTTCACCTCCTACCTCCTCACTCCACCACCATCTGGCCTCCACCCCACCTCTCTACGTCAAACTCTTCTTGCCAGGAGCAAAAGGGACTTCCAGTCTTCAGCTGATTTGGCTTCTTAGCAGTGCTTGTCAGTAATGAGTGTTTTCTCCTTAAAACATCCCTCGTTCTTGGTTTGGGGAGCATTAACTCTTCCGAGGATTCTCCTTCCTCGCTGACTAGTCCTCTACCTTCTCCATGCCCTTCCTTAAATGTTGGCATTTCCCAGAAATCCTGTGGCTTTCCCTCCCTGAAGGTTCTCTGTGAGTTGGGTCATTCATCTGCTGGTGTATCTTCACAAGAATCTCAAACTGACTACTATTTCACCTGTTTTGGTTGTGCTCAGAGTGCCTTACACAAAAGAGACTCAAAACTCCTCACCCCCCTACTCCCAACCAGTTCCTTGTGCAGCCCCATTGCTACCATAAGACCCTATGTCTGAGAGAGAGAGAAACCTTAGGGTCAGCTTTGGCTCATTTCTTTTTCTTACCCTCAACATCTAATCAATTTCCGGTTATTGATTCAGCATTTTGAATAACTCTGGGAAACACTTCATGTCTACCGAATCTCCCCTCCTTCAGACCACCATCATCTCTTGCCTGATTTATTATAGTTATCTATTTTTTCCAGTTTTACTTGGAATCTCCACATGGCAACCGAAGCTATTGTCCAAAACATAGCTATGACCCTTCCATCCCCCGATCCCAAACATTTCACTGACTTCCTTAGAACCAGTCAGTTATGTGCTTATAAAGCCCACTGCCATCTACCCACTTATTTAATCATTTATTCCCCATATCTTTATTATCTCAAATGTATCCAGTTCTGTGTTAGTTACTTGGGATGGGTGCATGAACAGACCATAACCTCTGCTCTGAGGGAGATTGTGTAGGACTAATAAATAACTGAGTAACATAGCATGTTGGAACATGAAAAGTGCTATGGGAAAAAGGAGGAGCAGAGAATGTTAGGAAAATTGATAGAGATTATGCAATGGACAGATAGTACTTACTAAGTAAGGAGTGTGGGTTGCTGCCATTGAGAAAGTGACACATTTGAACAAGCTTTAAAAAAAAAGGAGGGAGTTAGCTATGAGGGCACTTGGGGGAGAAGCATTCTAGATAGAGGGCACAGCCAAGCAGAGACCCTAAAGTGGGAACTTGCTAGGTGGGTTAAGGAGCAACAGGGAAGTGAGTCCCAGTGGAGGTAAGTAGTGCAGGATGAGACTACAGGGGTACTGTAGCCAGGGGAAACAGCCATGCAGGAGCTCTGTGAGTCCTTGCAAGCATTTCAGCTTTTACCTTTAAGAAAATGGGGAGTCAATAGGTATATTTGAGCCAAGGATCATTATGGCTGCTAGCTGATAGACTTGTGGGGCAAGGATACACATAGAGTATGTCTGTGTGCAGCTTTGCTTGTTGCAAAGTCCACATGCCAACCACAGCAGACTTACTCTACTTCTCAGATGTGCTACCGTCTCCTCTACTTTCAGCCTTTGTTGTTCCTTTACTTCCCTCCAGAATATCTTGTGTTGCCTCATCCTTTAACCTCTGCTTGATTCACTCTGTTCTGATTTTGTGCCACAAACTCTGATACCTGTCTGCCAGGTGTCCTTCTCTGACTGTGCACATTTCAGATGGCCCCTCCTGGCACCAACAATATCTGCATTGAACTCATAGCTCTTTTCATGTTGAGCCATGGTTGCAGGTTTCATTCCCCTCAGCTCCCACTTGTTGGAAGCTTCCTAAGGATAGAGTCTGGCTTCTCATCCCTGTTGGTCCTGGGATTTGCTGAGTGCTTGGCTAACCCAGTGTTATTTCTCCACCTTCAGGTGTGTGAATGGCAGCCTCCTGAACAACTGAGGCAACTCCTTGACTTGGAGATGAGAGACACAGGCGAGCCACATGACAGGCTCTTGAAACTCTGCCAGGATGTCATACGTTTCAGCGTCAAAACTAGTAAGGCCTTCAGTTAATGTCCTTGATCTGTGCCTAACAAGCACTTTTGAAGCATTTATTTACTTCTTAATAAAGCTGAGGATGATAGTGTTTATGGGATAAGAAAACTGAATAAAAAATAGTGGTCATGATGTTTTTACCATGGTCCATTTAATCCCTAATCCAGATTTGTTGTCCAAGCCAATGATAAATTGACAGGAAAACTGTTGGTGTTAGCGTTTATATGATCTATTCCTTGTCAATCCTCATCTTCCACTTGTAAGCAAGACCATAAATTATCACTGTTATTTATTGTTTCTTAAATTGGTCCAACCTGACAAATACTATTTTGATTATATGAATTTCTAATGGCTTTTAAATTTTTATGTTTAAACATTCTTTATGGAAAAAGACTATTTGAGAAGGTGTCTTTAATGTAGCAGCAATAGATTTATTTGGGAGGTACTGATTCACTCTTGGAAATTGCTGATTACTAAATTACTATCAAATCTGGCAAAACCAAAAAATAAAAAACTTTAGTCAGATGTAAGAAATTGAATACATGTTAAGTTTTGCTATGACTATTCACATTAATGCCATAACTACCTTGACCTTGTGTAAATGCAGTGACGTGATGTCAGCCACACACTGGAGTACTAGTCCAGTCTGACTGTTAATGTCCTATACAAGAGTGGGAGACTAACTTGCCTGAATAAACATGTCTCAGTGTGATGTGAAGGTAGTCTAGTGCTTAAAACTCTCCAGGCATTATGTTTTGTGAATTCTGACATGGACTAAATTTAGTGGAAAGAACATCATAAAATCCTGGCTAAAAATAATTAGATTAAATTCCCTTGGGAATGTCTGCTGTATATGTATCAAAAACTCAGTTAGCATTCACAAGCAGAGATACATATCTTATTATTATAGTATATATCAGAAGTATAGAGTGACATTTAATGCAGTAGATTTTTCAGTTTACTGGATATTTTCCATAATGTTACCATGGAAATCCATCATAAATTAACACAGAACTAAAAAAAAGTCCTTTAAAATTACTTGTAGCAATGTCTTGTTTCCTTTCCTGATCAGAGAATGTTTTCCATGTTTTAAATGAAAAGACATTTTCTTTTGAGATTTTTGTCTTTTATTGAACCCATAATTTAAGGAGAGAGACAAAAACCCCTACTCTAAATTCTGCAAATGGTAATGAGGGATCAATAATTAAGATGGTTTTAAGCACTAAAATTAGAAGTAGACGTCCTGTCTCTGATTTCTGTGATGCTGGGCTTCTGATGATGGAGAATGTCAAGCCAGTTAGTCTGGTGTTTGGTAGGAGTATTCACACTGTTTAAATCCAAGAACCTTCATGAGACCTTTTATATGAGAAAAAAAAAAAAAAGAGAGAGAGTTGGAACTCGACATTGTTGGAGTCTTGAAGGAAACTGTGTTTAAAGTAAGCTGAATCAGAAAGTGCACAAAACCTGCCTGATGAGTCACATCCCACTCCTCCATAATACTGTCATCCTATTGAAGCTGAAAAATGAAAAGGCTACTTCATGGCCTGTGACCTGGGGTGAACCCTGTTGGTACATGTTGGTCTGATGTGAGGGAAGTAAGTATTGATATTTCCAGAAGGCAGATACAGCAGGCAGCAGCACTGGACAAATGTGTTCAAACCCATTTACTACGGGTTCTGGTTGGATGTGGGCTATGGAAAGAGCATGGTGCGTGCTCCAGTTTTACTTAGAAACATTGCTTAGTGGAAAAGGCCTCAGAATTTTTCCTTGTACATAATCATATTTTGAATGTTTTTTTAAATTGAGGTTCACTTATATTCACAAAGGTGCATGAATCTGAAGCGTCAGCTCAGTGAACTTGCACGTGTCCGTGCAATATGGAAGCCAACAAGCGTTAGGCCATTTCTAGCACCCAGAGGCTCCTCCAACCCCTGCCCAATCAGCAGTCCCTCCCCCAGAGCAGCTAGAATCCTGACCTCTGCTTCCACAAGTGGTTTTGCTGAGTCTGAATGTCATATGAATGGAATATAAATGTCAAATGGAAAATAAGTGTCACATAAATGGAATGTCATATAAATAGAATATAAGTGCTATGCCTATTCTTTTGGGCTGTCTACTTCACAGTTTGAAAGATTCATTTATGTGATTGCTGTATCAGTAGGTTTCTTTCTCTTTTCACTGATGCATAGGTGAATACTTTGTTTTAAATCTACAGGTCACCCAAGATTTTTCAACCAGTTGTATGCTGGTCTTGATTATTACTCCTTGGTGGCCCGACTAATGACAGAAGCATTGAACCCTAGTGTGTAAGTGCCATGCTACTGGAATTTCACCCTGAATGTGGGTTAGAGATGTTTTTTAAATAGATGAAATTTTATTTCATGAATTTCTATTTAATGTTTTTTTTTTCATACTCTACCATTAGTAATTGGAGTCTTGTGACACGAAGCAGTAGTAGAGGGGCTGTTTGGTTTATAGGGTGGTGTTGTGAACTGGTATGACAGGGATTGCTATCTCCTTTTAACAGACATGAAAACTGAGTAAGCAACTTTCCATTCATTCCTGCATGAAAACCTCTACCTCTGCTAAGCACTAGAGAGAGACTTTGAATAAAAACAGATCTTGACTCTGTCCTCATGAAGCATAAAATCTGGTGAGAGTAGGAGACATCCTAGTCAAAATAGTACTAGTGTGAAATTAATGTTAAATTCATACTCTCATGTAAGGGAGAGGTGCCTGATGTTATAAATATAAATGGGGACATTTTTCCAAGTTGACAGCTTAGGAAAGTCTTTACTTGAACAGTGTTGGCTAAGAGCTAGAGGATGCGTAAGAGTTAATGAGAGGGAAGAATTCCAAGGAGAGGGAACAGCATGTACAAAGACCCTATGGTGGGAGGCATGCCATACTCTGAACTGAAAGGTCAGTGTGGGTAGAGCTGACAGAGTACCAGGGACGGTAGTAGAGGACAAGAGTGGAAAGATGGAGAGAAGCCAGATATGCTAGAGCACTGTGGACCATACTCGTTAGTTATTCTAAGTACATCGAGAAACCATTGAGTGTTTCCAAGCCATTAGGTACATTTGCTACTAATTGCCAGAAAAATGCAGAATGTGTCAGAGGGGATTGATTAAGAGGACATTTCCTTAGTAATGTGAGAGATAATAGTAGTTTGGACTTAGATGGAAGTAAAGGGAATAGAAAAAGTGGGTTTAGAAGATCAAATGAAAAGAGTAGATAATATGTTGGATCTTGGAAATGAGTATAAGAGGGATGGTTCTGAAATGTTTGGGTTTCCATGGTCATGCCATTCAGTGATATAAGAAGAAGCAGGAGAGGGGACCAGTTTTCAAGTATATGGTGGATGAGGCAAAGTCAAGAATTCAATTTTCAAGTGTGGGTGTTTGAGCATGCAATGACTTTGAGATATCCAAGAATATTTATCGACTAAGCTGACAGATATATGAGCCTGGAATTTTGAGGTCCACAGGAAAGGTATAAATTTAAAAGCTATTGGCAAAGTGATGGGGATTGAAATAGTGGGCATGGATGACTTCCCTAAGTCAGTGATTCTCATCCTTGTCTGCTCAGTACAATCAACATGGGAGCCATAAAAATAGACATTGATGCCTCAGTCCCAACCCAGACCAACTAAATATAAATGCGGTAGGTGTGTCCCATAAATTGATACCTATACAAAGCTCAACAAGTGACTTTAATGAGCAGCTAGGATGGAGAACCACTGTTACAAGGATAGAGCTAGGTTAAAGAGAGGTAAAGGCTTGGGACGGGGCGTTGAGGACATCCAACCTTTAATGGTTAGGAGGAAGAGAAGCAGAAAAGGGGAAGGATGAGGGGGCTGTGTGGAAGTTGTGGAGGAGCAGGTGTCCAGAGCCATATGCTGTTCAGTAGTTAACCGAGGTGAGTGATGACACAGGTTAGCAACATCGTGTCATTGGTGACCTCACAGATGTCAGATTCCAGTGGGTGGAAGAAGCAGTAGATAGGTCAGAAAAGACAAGAAAGTTAAACTCTGAATCATCCCTTGTACAGCATAGGTTTTATAGCTCTTTCCGGGTTTTTTAAAATCTGAAAAATAGAGGTCTTTGAAATATTCAGTTGTTACTAACCTGGACCATCCTCTCAAAATGTGGTCACCCTTGAGTGTGTTCCATCTCACCCTCCCCTCTAGCTGGAGGCCTGTCCCCAGTGTAACACTGAACTTGTTTTCAGTGACAGGTTTAACACTAACTCTTTTTGTTACAAAAAAGTGAATGATTATTTTATTTTGGGTACACAAAAACATACACACTTTTGGTGTGAGTGAACTGGTTTCATAGTGTGGTTGAAATAGAGTCTGTCTTATTTTTCAAAGGATATAACATCTACAGAGTGCTTGGCACATAGGCAGATCATAGAGTCAGTTTTCAGTATTTTTGCTTCCATCCCAAACTTTCCCCTCCAGATGTTAAAATAATTTTTGTGACTATAAATCTAAATACAACTGCATGGTCTATGTATTAGTCCATTGTGTGGAAAGAGAAGCAATTCAAACATTACAGAACTTGACACAGTAACCGATGTAGTTTGAGGTTCTTGGAAAGGCACTCTGTATGGAGTTAGTGTGCAGAGTGTTTGCTAAGAAGTACCTTCAGGATCAACTTGAGTGACTAGAGAGTGAGGGCGGAGGAAGCGGGCATGGGCAGGGATGGGAGGCAAGCTACAGTCTAGGCTCAGTGCCTGTCTCTGCTGACCTCACAGAGATCTCTGCAGTGAGCAGTCAATTATGGAAGCTATAGGAAGAGTTGTGGCCTTGGAGGAAGCAGATTCCTGCTGCTGAGACAATCCTAACAGGGCTAACATAGCAAGGTTCTCTGACATCAGTGTTCAAGCCCACAGCAACAAGTTCTTTAGTGATCAGCACAGAATAAAACATGATCTGTACAGGACAGGAGTAAGGTGATGGAAGCCCTAGTTCAGGACAGGAAGCCTCCATGTAGAGAATCTAGTGCTGACTGTTAATGTAGTCATATTAGTAACCTAATACAACCTGGTTACCAAGACAATGACTTCTCTTTAATCATCCTCAGCATCCAATGCTGTAGCCAGAGAATGCAAAGAGTGAAATGACCACTGCCCATGATCAATCCAAAGAATCTCTCCTCATGGAATCAAAGGTGTCTTCTAAACTAAGACTGCTGTTGTGGCTTGCATACCCCTAAGGCCACCACCTATTGGTAGTTATCTAGCACTGTCACCTGTGGAGATAGTCTTTATTTCCAAGAGATGAATTCCCAAAACTACCTACACCTTTGCATCCACTGGGTTTAATAAAACTTTGTGCATTTCTTGGAACACCAAAGGGATATTTTGACTCTAGTCATAGAAGTGAAGTGTTTTTTATATCTGTCTAGTTATACGTATGAGGTGTCCCCAGTGTTTCTGTTAGTGGAAGAAGCGGTTCTGAAGAAAATGATTGAATTTATTGGCTGGAAAGAAGGGGATGGAATATTTAACCCAGGTGAGTACAACTAGTTATTTCCACCTGCCTCTTCTATGTGCATCTAAAAATACACAGTCATGTGAGGAACAAACTTCTTGTAGACTTATACATTACAAAAAGTTGGTATTAATAGTGCTACCAAATTGGGCACTGGTGACTCATATCTGTAATCCTAGCTATGTGTGAGGCTGTGAGGCTGAGATCAGGAGGATTGTGGTTTGAATCTAGCCCTAGGAAAATAGTTCACAACACCCCATCTCACAATAACCAGAGCAAAATGGACTGGAAATGTGGTTCAAGTGATACAGCTTCTGCTATGCAAGCATGAAGCCTTGAGTTCAAACTCCAAACCCCAAAACAAAAACAGTGGTACTTAGTAAGCATATAGCTTGCACCTTTCTCTAGAGTGACCATACTTTGCACAAATGCTAAATTAATGGCATGCATAACTAACAAATGAGATATCTACAATTTAGTATTTATAGGTCTACAATTTCAGATTTAAATCTAACATAGGTGAATTAATCTGCTGTTGGGAGTTTGGAAAGGCGATAAGTCCTCCAAATTTTTAAATCAGTTTTACTTGAGAAGGCTCCTAAATCATATTTTTTAATCCTATGATCCTTTTTTGGAGTCAGATATGAGCATATATTGTCATTTCAATTTTATCAATCTGGTGACAGTCTGATAAAATAATATTGGCTGTGGAGCCTTGGATGCTGGCCCTAAGTCCAAAGCTCTTCAGTTGAAACTTTAGTTTGGAAAAATTCTGGAATGAGAGAAGAGACCAACATCTCCTTCTTTGGGAAGATGGAAACATTCTGGAGTTGGAGGTCGGAAGTTCAGAAGTGTATAAATGGAATGTTCAAGTCATGAGTAAGGGAGGTGTTCAGATGACTTTAGAAGTGAGTTTTCATTATCGGAGTAGTCCTGACCATTCATGTTTTCCACCATATTTGGTACTTTGGGTGCTAATGCTTCATGCTATAAATGTGACATTTTGCTTTGTTTTTTCAGGTGGTTCAGTATCTAATATGTATGCAATGAATTTAGCGAGATACAAATATTGCCCTGATATTAAGGAGAAGGGGATGTCTGGGTTGCCAAGATTCACCTGTTCACATCTGCAGAGGTAAAACATGATTCTTCATAGCAGCTAGTTTTGTTTTCTGAGAATGCATATTTAAGAGGGCTTGTTTGAGGACTTCTGTTGTGACTTTATCCTATCCTTATGTGATTAATATGCCTAACAATAACCTAATATGAGGTTTTGATGAGTTGAGGATTATCATCTCTGGCCACCCAGTTTTGTACATCACCTTTATTTAAAATTTATAGTCTTTAACATTTCCTTTGAGGAAAAAATGTTTCATTGGAAAGTGCTCTCTAGTTCTGTGAATCTTTTCTGTGTCTTTTTTATTAGAAATCAAATCATCACTACTGATCTCAGCGATGTTTTCCACTCACAGTTTCTTGTAAAGTTGCTTTGATCAGCTAATATGAGGGATTTATATCTTCCTTTTCAAAGGGAAAAGGAGAGATTCGGTAATAATCAACATCACACACACACACACACACACACACACAAACACATGATAGGGGTGTGGCCACAGTTTGTATGTCTTATTTTACTCTCCACTGAAGTACAAGTTCAGGCTGTGGACAAGTACATCGGCTTTGAGCTAGACTGCCCAAATTCACTTCCCACCTCTATCATTTACTATCTGAGGTGATTAACATTTCTGTGCCTCAGTTTCCTAATTTGTAAAAATTGAATATATTGGTTGTTTCTTGTATCTGATAAGTTATCTCCACACCGAGTAGCATAGAAGCATAACTTTGTATTATCACTTACAAGTGTCAGGACAACTAGGAGTTTCTGCTGTTCTTGGCTGGGCTTACTACAACTCACATTTAGAGCCCTGTACCTCATCCTCCAGCAGCAGCTGAGGTGTGCTCTCATGGCCCTAGGAGAAGTAATCCTATCTCTACACCCAGATCCAAGATGTGGGAAAGTAGTCTTTGCCACTTGGGAGAACTTGCTTCAAAGTCACCTTAGCAAGTGGTCTAGATTCAGGGTGCTGTGAAGAATGGGGCCATGAAAGCAACCCAGAAAGCACATGGTGGTCATTGATTAGGAAGTCCTTACAAAGACTGAATGGATTACTACATGGAGAGTGGAATCTGTTACACATTAGTAAAAAATGCTGGCAATTATTAACAGGGGGAGAATGACCCAACTATGCAGGGTGGGTAGAAATGGATGGCACAGCTTAAGTCCAGTCTTATCAGTTTTATCTGGAAAAGAGTCTTTTTTACAAAGACTGAATGGATTACTAATGGAGAGTGGAATCGTTACACATTAGTAAAAATGCTGGCAATTATTAACAGGGGGAGAATGACCCAACTATGCAGGGTGGGTAGAAATGGATGGCACAGCTTAAGTCCAGTCTTATCAGTTTTATCTGGAAAAGAGTCTTTTTTCCCCCCTTTTTCTACTTTTGTGTGATTCCATTGGGTGCCTCTGTCCTTCTGCCCCAAGCCTTTTGCAGGAATTGCTTAGTGCTTTCAACTTGATTGGAAACACTGGGTGTCCTGTCAAATACATGAAATGGGCAAAATAGGAACATTCTGGATGAATTCCAGCTGTGTTTTCCTGAGTCTTCTTTGCTTCTAAGAATAAACATCGCTTTGAGCTTTATTATTGTGGGAGGATTTGTGGCCTGAGAGGCCCTAGGTGGAAGGACCACTCATGGCCTCCACCATGTTTTCCTCCAACCTCTCTGACCTATGCTCAGTTTGTCCATCACTGAGCGCAAAGTGGGATTTGAGAGGTCGGAAGGCACCTGGGAGAACTCACCTGGGAGGTGCCTTCCAGCCAGAGTCTTGCTCCAGCCACGGTGGGTGGTCATTCTTCATAAGACGTGCTTTCTGTAGGGAACGAATGCTTGGCAATGATGACAGCTGGGAAGAATACTTGCTTATTTGGGATTATTATGGAAAAGGCTTTCCCCCTCCAGCCCTGGTCTGAAGGACGTCAGTGGATCAGAAATGCAAAGACCCTTCTGTGTTTGAACTGCTAAAGCTATGAAATTGGGTCCCTGCCACCAGTTTAACACTTTTCCTTTTGCCTTTTGCATTCATCATTTGGTTTAAAACTTGCTGGAGTTCTTTTCTGGAACAGTTGCCCTAGAAGGGGGAAGAAATTCTATTGAGGCCAAGAATAAAGACGACACCTGGGGATGATCAGTGGCACAGGTGTGGCTGCTGAATGGAGAGTGAGAAGGCATCAAAGTCTCATGTTGTGAAACCATAAGTGACTTTTTTTTCAATTTCCAAAAAGAGGCAAAATGTAGGCTGTGGCTAACATGCCAGTTGAAGTTGAAGCCAGAATACCCAAGGACTGCACGTATATTCCACAGAAAATTTCTAAACTCTGAGCACACTGTAGCCTTGAATATATATTTTCATTTTCATCCCGTCCATTCAGACCTTTCTCTGTAGCCCATTCCTTTCCCTGATCTGCTGAAGAGACTTGGGTTGTAGCCAATATTTAGTTTAAAAAACTAAATATTGTGTTTGCTAAAGAGTCTTACTCGGTGGTAGTCTTTCTGCTGTACTCTATTTTTTAGGTGTTTGGTCCATGCCCATTGATGATGCTTTCCCTGTTTTATCAGGTGCCTTTGCCAGTTTCATGCTGCCCCAGATCATCCCATCTCTGTCTTGTACCATCAAGTGTAGAATACACGCTCCCACCTCTGAGGACATTTTTGTGTACTTCACATTTTGACTGTAATTCAGCTATTGATAGAGACCTAAGTGATCATGACAGAAATCCTAGTGTGGTCAGTGTATCCAAAGGACCCTCTCAGTGCTATGTGGAAATGAAAGATGAGGGGACTTGTGGAGAAAATTAAGAAATTCATGACTTGGTTAGCACTTTGATATGAACTCCTTGGGTATGTAGAAATCCTAGGTTTGTAAAGTTCCCAAGTTCAAATCATCTTTGGAATTAGTGTAAAGTAGGGATCATTGTCAGCAGCTACCTGCTGAGGGTCAAAAAGAGACTCTTACTTACAAAGCAGTGACCAATGGGACAAGCTCCTCTTTAGAAGGGTCTGGCTAAGGGAGGCACAAGAGAAATATTGGATGCCCAGCTCAGAGTTGTGCATTTATAACCTCAGGTGTCTCCCTGAGCTGGGGTGAGGTGCTATCTCAGATCTTCTTAACAGGCAAACATGTACCTTAGAATATTCTGCAGAGCATGAGGCTGAAGGCTGTCCAACTGGATTCTGGCTGTGGGCTTTTTAGGAATAGAACTAGTTGTGTGTTTTTGGAGAAATCCCTTGCATATTTCTTTTGTAACATTCATGGGCTCTGCTCTGTCTACTTGTGACTACTCAGCAATGAGTTAGTCAGCCGTAGATGGAGTCCAAGTGTCCAGGGCACAGTGCACACCCAGGAGAAAGCAGCAGTTCATTGCAAAAGCCAAGGTCATAGAAAGAACATCCTTGCAGGAATCAGAAAGTAAAACTTTAGCTTAATGCTGTCTTTCGTGCAGGCCCTTGCTGTGTTGCCTTCATAGAAATGAGCACCCACTGAGATCGTGGTGCTTCTGTAGATTTGTGAAACCTACAGTGAGGTTGAGTCTTAGAACAACTGACTTATCTTTTTCCAGAGATGAGAACAACACTGCTTGTTTCTAAATGCACTTGTTACTTGTGCACTCCAGCCTTCTGGGTTTTTCCTTTCCTTGAAACTCCTCACATGTCTGAAGCATCAACCTCTTTCTTTTATCCCCATTGAGGGCCCTTTTCCTTCTCTGATGCTTTCAGATGTCTAGACTTTGGTTTTGTAGACTTTTTATCTCTCCCCATCCATTTGAGAGTGACATTGGGCTGTACTTTGCCCTGAGGTACTCAAAGAGAGCTTCACTGAAGCTATTTTATTCTGCTTACAAGTTTTTATTCAGCACATCTATTGGTTGAAGGTATTTTGCTGTTTCTTAGGGGTAGAGCACTGTGATTTCCCTTATAGTCAGAGGGCAGAGGGGGTAGGCTAGCGTTTAGCATTAGGAAAGCAATAGCTCTTTGGTTGGCATAGCCCAAGTCTCTGGTGAGAAGTAATCACCTCAGCTATGTCACCTTAGCTCTGGCAGGAGTGTTACCTCCAGCCAGTATAGGCTGATGTAGCAAGTAGGGAATTAATTACATTTTCATGCACATTATCACTCCTCAATGTGCGTATGTTCTTGTGGCAATCAGAAATGAATGCTTCCTGCATGCATTTTGGATGTGTCCTATTTGATATTTGGAAACTAATTATTTAGTATGGCTTCATTTTTCCTACTGGTGTTACTTCTGCATTTTATTTTTGCAGAGTTAAAAAAAGAGCTCCCAATAAAACTCTCTTGACAAAAGAAGGAAAAAAATTACCACATTTGAGGGAATATATCAAGTTAAGTGTGAAGGCATGACTACTCTTTTAATGTATTCATACCTGCAAATTAAATTACAAAGGTTTTTTTTTTGTACAATAATGTCCTTTAGCACCTTCATTTTTCTGGCATGACAAAAAATTAATCGACCACCTGTCTTCACTAATATATAAAGAAAGATACCTCCAATGTTTGAACTAATTATTTTATAGGCTCCATGTAGTGTGTGGGGAAGGGCAAACAATCTGAAGTCTATACTACTATTTGTTACTGTGAAATAAGCCATACCTAATTCCAGAACCCTCTATTAGCCCCATTCATTCCACAGCTGAGTAAAGCATTGTAACTTGAATTGTACTTTGGTTCTTATGATTTTAGTCACATTCACATATTTAATTTCAGCCTTGCATTCAATGTTAAATAAGACTGTTAAGTGTCTTATCAGCATTTACAACCCACTGTTTGTTCTTGAAAAGAATTAAACTGTTCCGTAGTCTGTGATTGCAATCTTTGAGACAGAGTGTTGCTTCCTCTGTGGGGGTTCTGAGTCAGCAGTGGACTGGATGCTAAGTTCCCATTAATACTCAGCCTTATTAGTAGCATCAAGAGAAGCTTTTCTTTTCTCAACATTATGGAAAACAACAGCCTCCAGTGACCAAGTCTGTTCCATGTGTTGAGTCCTTTATATGTGTCAACTATTTATCTCTAAAACAAGCTGATAGAGCAGTCATTATTGACATGACCACTTTATAGATGAGCAAATGAAGGCTTGGCGAGTGGCCATTATTTATTCAAGATTCCATCAGTCCTGATTTCTCTGTCCCCACAGTCAAAGTTCCCAGCCACTACACTAAGGAGCTCAATGAAATTACTGTTTTCTTTTCTTCTGTGCAATCATGTTCCAAAGATTGTGCTGAACTATGAGGGCATATGTCCATTTAGATAACAAGTAATGCATCTTCTGTGCCGTGCATTCATCTCTCTCCCTTCCTCCTCACTTGTTTAATTCAGTGTCATTACTCCATGAAGAAGGCAGCTTCCTTCCTTGGGATTGGTACCGAGAACGTGTGCTTTGTGGAAACAGATGGAAGGTAATGGGAGAGGATCTGGTAGTCTGGTGGGTGGAGGGGAAATTCAGACTGTTTAAAAAGCAGTAGCTTTGCCTATTAATCCCTAAACATAACTGAAAGTCTTAAATCTGTATTCCTTAGAGGTAAAATGATACCCGAGGAGCTGGAGAAGCAAATCTGGCAAGCCAGAAAAGAGGTGAGAGAGAGAGAGAGAGAGAGAGAGAGAGAGAGAGAGAGAGAGAGAGAGAGAATGAAGAGAGAAGGAATGTGTGTGTGTCTGTGACTGAGAGAATAACAAGGAGAGAATGTAAACTGCCACACCCATTTATGTATGTGGGAGAGAGGAGAGCATGTTGGAATTAAAACAGGAAAATTTGTTTACAGGTGTTCTGTTTCCTGGTGCTTTGGTGCTCCATGTACTGTAGAGTTTCTCTGCTGTTCTCATTCCCAGATTGCCAGAGTCAGTTAAAACACTGGTGTCACCGTATTCAGGATTCTTGGCTAGAGTAAGCCCTAAAGAGGAAGGTGGTCTCTGCAGCAGAGCCATAGTGGCTCTCTTCTCTCTGGAGTCCAAACCAGTTGCCTCGGCTTCCTTCAGGGTGGTTGTGGATTTCTCCATCAATTCGTATTCCATTGAATTCCAGCTCGAAGTCCATCCACTACTACCATGTCTTGTGGGGCCTGGTAAAATTTCAATGGCAGAATGCCCTATGTTCCTTAGCTGCTAGAACATATGAAAGACGATGTGCTTTCTGCAAGAGAAGGCAAGGCATGGCCCAGACACCTGGTACGATCCAGGGAGACTGGCCTTGACACCTGCTTTTAAAAGAGTGTTTTATTGTTTTGAGCCCCCCATTTTGCTTTTTGGCCCTGAAGCTTGGTGGTGTGTGTCCCTACTCTACTTCTCCTTCTCTCCCATCCCACCTCCTTTTCCATCTCTAATGGAGCTGTAGATGGTTGTCCCATACCTTCTCCATAGGAAGTGACAGGGTTCAGACTGCCTGCAGAAAAGCAAAAGCCCAACTCTGTAATGGGATAAGTAGTCTGTCCTCACAGGAGTACACACTCTAGGAAGGATGGGTTCTTTTCTTTTTTTTTTTAAGTGTTAATATTATATTTCTGTTGTTATACTGTATTTTTTTCAAATTTTCATAAAAACACCTTATCTTGGGTCATACTAGATTAGTATATTAGTATATCTGCTATTATTGAGAATGTATTTAATTTAATTTTTTTTTGTGGCACTGGGGATTGAACCCAGGGCCTCAAGCATGCCAGGCAAATGCTCTACCACTTAAGCCACATCCTCAGCCCTTTTGCTTTTAGCTTGTTTTTCATATAGTATCTCATTCTTTTGCCTGGGCTGCCCTCAGACCAAGATTCTCTTACCTTTGCCTTGAGTTGCTAGGGTTACAGGCATGCACTACCATGCCTGATTTGCTTTTTTGAGAGAGAATCTTACTTTTTGCCTGAGTTGGCCCCAAATTGCAATCTTCTTGTCTTTGCCTCCTGAGTAGCTGGGCATGGACTCATAGTCCTGAGCCTCTGTACCTGGCACTATTGTGAATGCATTGGCTTTGGATATGTGTGCTTAAATCTACATTAATCTTTTTTAATTAACATGGTAATGACATGATAATTGTCTTATAGTTAGATTGTCATATTTCTCTGAGTTTTGGGTAAAATTCTACCAAATACACAAGAGGAGTTTGTTATGCTGTTAACCACATACATTGCCTTGTGGATTTAGTTTCAGCTTTTTCTACTGAAGTTACTATGAATAAACAATTTTCATTATGCCATAATGCTTCTGGTGGGGAATGCTGGGTATGTTTTTTTGGCATGGGTCATATCCTCCTCCCTCTCTCCCACCTTTTCTTTCTCCTTTCCTCCTCACCCTTACCTCTTTCTTTCTGGAACTTTCATTATGGAAAATTTCAAGCACATACAAAGCTAATATATAACAAGTCTTCATGCACTCACTATCCATCTTCAACAATTGCTAGCTTGTGCCACTCTCTGTTTTATCCACACCCAGCCCCTCACACTACAACTATGCTAGCCTGAAGTAAATCCCAGACATTGTATCATTTGGACTATTAATAGTGGACTATATCTGAAAAGATATGTTCTCTTTTTTTAAAAAAAGACCTAATATTAATAATTGCTTGATATCATCAATATTCAGTCTACGTTAAAATTTCTCCCATTGCCTTTTAAAAACTAGTTGGCTTATTTAAAATATTGATTCAAACAAAGTCTCTGCATTACATCTGGTTAATACATCACATAAATCTTTTCTAATCCATAGCACCCTCTTCCTTTTTTATCCCTGCAAATGTTGTTGAAGAAGCCGGGTCTTTGTCCTGTCAGGTCTCACCTTATGCCTTTTGCAGATTACATGGAGACTGAGATTCTGTGTGCTTCCTCCTGGGCATTTTCCATTTCCTGTAATGTGGCACTTAGATCTCCAGGCTCAATGAGATTCACATTGGACCAGGAAGGCTTCATTTTATCCTTCTATCTGGAGACATCCAGTGTCTCTTTTTGAGATAACATTGAGCAGTGGGTCGGTATTGTCAGTCCACCTGCTAGCCCTCTCCAGTCTTCACATTGGTGGCCATCTGCCAGACCCCTCAGTTCATGAAGCCGTGCTCTAATTCATTCTCTCATTCCTTTTTTATTTATTGACAGGCATTTTACTACAAAGGAAAATGTTTCCTCATCCCTATTTGATTTTCCCTAAGGAGACAGTTTTCACATGCAAGGCAGGATAAATGTTTTATTATTTCTCCCCATTTACAGATTTTCAAAATACTGAGTTAGTTTTCCGGCTTCCTGTAAACACAGTTCTCCCATTTAAAAAGTATTGTTAACAATTCATATTTCCAGCATAGTGGGTTTTATGCCACCACAGTTATTATTTTCATTGCTCAAATTTTTGTTTGCTTTGACAATGAAAGTATATGAAACCAACATAATTCTAAAGTTGAGAACTTGAAAAAAGAGGTTTATAAAAAGTAAAAATTGCTGTAGGCACATTTAAAGGCAGGGCAATGGGATTGGAGTTGGCATGTCTCCCCTCTTTTCTCTCAGGTCAGTTAATACTTAAGCCTGGATTTACTGTGAACAAACTGTATCCATTCTGAGATAAGATAATAATACTTGATGACTAGTTTATTTTTCTCAGTAGTTAGGCCTTGCTGTTTTCTTTCAAGTTTTTCACTCATATTATTTTGTATGTAAGGAACAGTGCGTCAACATTTTTTGTGTGCCGTATTCAAGTCCCTGGCTGAGGACAATCCATTAAAAAAATTCCTTCACACAGTGACCTTTACTTGATGTCACTATCAAGACAGTGAAAACACAAGCCTCAGAAGTTCTAAAGTGATTATTGACAAGCCCAAGCTAGTATGACCACTGAATATTTCGGAGGCATTTTCGTGTATGAGTGTGTGAAATGACAAACTTTCTTAGGGAATACAACTCTTTGGCAATCAATACTGTTCTGCAAAATTTTCTTGTTAACAGCAAGAGATATGAGCATGAAAAAAATATGGAAGGTTAAATCCAGATTGCAAAAGTTTAATTTCTGGGCTGGATATTTATAGCAAGATTTTTTAAAAGGTGAGGAAAACTCATTAGTAGGCTGTAATAGCTTGCACAGGTGTTTTCTCATGACTGTCAGGATGTCATATATTTTATGAGGAAAAGCCCAACCATTAAAAACCATTAAACAGTTTTAGTAAATTACTTTTTCTGTTGCTTTTAATGATTGATGCAAATCTGTTCTCATTTCATTTAGGTCACTGACATGATAAAGACTTAATCTGTTGTGGTTGAGTACAGGGAAGAATTTCCAAAGCCCATGGTTTCCCAGGGGCTGTGTCACTTCCTGGCCTGGCTCTGAGAGGTTTGGGGTAGAACCCATCCTATGTGTCACAGCTGTCTCCCCAAATGGCAACTGGATTCATTATGTACCATCACTTTGATTCCTGTGCATCTCAATTTGGAGATGTGGGACCAAGTGGTCTTGCTCTGCCCCACTTTCCGTTGAGAAATAACATCTTTCTCTCAAAGGTCAGTTAAATTGGAATGAGTTTGGTTCAAACACAACAACCTCTGGCATCAAAGGATATAAAAATATATTGCAATAGCAATGTACTTCATGATAAAACTGAGGGGGAAAATGGCGCCATGCTAACTGGAGGTAAAATGACATTCATAGTCAGCAAAGTGACAAGAGTTACTTATTCCTTAGGCGGTCTAGAATCCTACAATTCTATTGTTCCCCACAACCCCACAGTTGTGGTAGTTTCCTCCCAGGGCACTTCCACAGTAAGCAACACATCGCTGCTGCCATGCTGGTGCTGATATGTTTGGAAACAACTTCCTCTACTCTTCCTGTTCCTGGTTGGTATAAAGCCCCTTAATGGCCCAAGGTGTCTGGCTAGCTTGCCTGTAATGACTTTCCATTTCTGCATTGCCCCCACACTCTCCCTTTTCTCCCCCTTTTTCTACTGACACCTGCTTACCCTACAACATGCAGCCACTGACTGTGTGAGGAGGCTAATCCACTACAGGACTGAGGCAGGTTCTCTTTCCCTGCCCCTCCACTGAGTCTCCCCACTGCAGCACCCAGGCAGACAGTGCTTCCCTCGTCCATTCAGATTCTGTTGAGTCTATACCTGAGCATGCCTTGGCTTGGTTGACTGCACTTACTTTATGAGGAGACAAGCAGACAGGACTGTGTGATTTACCCCTGGGCTGGGTATTTGTCTTCTGGTCCTGTTCGTGTTTGCTTTGTAGAAGGATGACAAGGCTGGCACTGTGGAAGCCCAGTATATTTCCCCAGGAAGGTGCTAGGAACCATGCAGAATGTCAGTTTGCCTTGCCATGAAGTTATTCACTTTCTATCTGGGCCATCTGTTTGAATGGAAAATACTACAGAAAGAAAATACTACAAAACCGAACTATGTCATAGCATTTTTTCAGTTTCCTTAACCTGTTTGTCATGACAGGAGGCCACATATTGGGGAAATTCAAAAAGCACCCACTGAATTAATGATCCAAAGAGAACATGTAACTCTCTGGGAGCATAACCCTTTATGTCTATCAACATATTAAGGACAAATGTTGCAATGATAGTGACAGTTCTTTTTGTGTGTGGCTCCTTCTCACAGGGGGCAGCACCATTTCTTGTCTGTGCCACCTCTGGTACAACTGTGTTGGGCGCCTTCGATCCTCTGGATGAAATAGCGGACATCTGTGAGAGGCATGGCCTTTGGCTCCATGTGGATGTAAGTTCATCTGTGGGTGTTCATCTAACTTCCTAGACCTCTAGCTTTGCATACTCTCAGAAACTAAATGTGAAGCTGCTAGTACTTTTAGTTGTGTTTGTAATTTGGGGAACAAATATGTCATATCCTGTGAGGGTTAATAAAGATTCTAAAACTTCATGTACATTTTGATTTAGCTTTCTGGGTTCTGTGTTACTTTCTTCTTTTCCATGAACCTCTTTAGTTCCCCAAATTATTGAGGCAGCATGGTGTCAGGACTTTGGACTATTGAACCAAGAGACTTTGATTTTGAATTATAATCTGCCTCTTTTTTCATGTGATCTCAGCCATTTGGATTTTAGTTTCTTCATTTGTGGAAGGAGCTGGCTGATGTAGTCTGTAAAGAATCTTCTGACTCTAAAATTATTTGATTCCAATCAGCTAGAAGATGCAAAAAAAATTGCATTACTAAATTGCATGTTATAATTAAATCAGGTTTTTTCTAGATCTATCATATATAATATTTGAGAGGGATTGGGATCATTTATATTCTTCATAATTTTCTAACTTAAAAGGTTGGCTTTTTCTAATTAATTTCATAAGTCCTGGGGTTATTATAATAAATTTTCCCTTCAACTAAAAGTAACTTTCATTATAAGCCTGCTTTTCAGGGTTAAAAAGTTGAATTCAGCTAGCTATGAATGCTTGTTGAGTTTTGCAGTTTTCTTTCTTCCTTTTTAAAAAAAATTTTTTCTTTTATGAAGTTAGTGGTTAACTTGTTTGATTCTACCTAAGAAAAGGGACAGTTGAACATATTCTTCAGAATCAGGGAACATTCCTTGGTAGGTGAGTGGCTCAGATTCTCCTGACCGGAAGCAACATGTTTTAACTTGGTCAACAGAAGGTAACTGAGCATTTGGAGGATATATGCACACATAATTTTATAGTTCAGAAGATTTTATGCTTTCAAAATAAATTATCTATGATATGATATGGGGAGAGTTTTTTCATTAAGTGTATGCTAATATTTGTTGAAAACAACAGTGGTTAATATAAAGACCGCTGGAGTTATTGACTTGATAAGCATGCTAATAACAGCAGGTCAAGTAGAGTATTTGTGACTTCTTTAAATGGGGTTTTAGTATTTGCATCTGTTCCACATTTCAACTTACATCTTATTGATTTTGTAGACTTACAAGCATAACAATACATTATGTCTTAAAAGATAATATGAAGTGAACACTTTTCTAACTGTGGAAATAAAGAGAAACTCATCAGCAGTTACACTTAACTATTCTACTCTCATAAAAGAAACATCAAATATGGATTATATACTTTATGTAAAACAAAGTAACTATGGCAGTTTTAAAATTTGGAATGATTTTAAGAGATTTATGGGGCTTAGAGAAAATTATGATTTATAAGTATGAATGAAAGGCTCTCTAGTTTTTTTTTTTTAAAGAAAAGGTTGAATTTTTTAAGAGAACACTTTTTTTATGGAGGCCTTTAAGCTACACCAAATTACTCTGTTTGCACATAGTAGGCACCCAACAGTTGTCTGTAATATTAGATTAAATTTGACAATGGCCTTTCTGAACTGTTAAGGAAATTAATAAGCCCTAACATTGAGTCAGTGTTTACCCATCCTTTATTACTGCAGATGTTGAATCTGCTGATAAAATTTTATTATAGCAGTATGTATCATAGAAGAAACTTCACAAATCATAGGTACTTTACTAATTTTAAAGGTAAAATAATAACAAAATTATAATTGCTTTTACCTATTTGAAATCTTCTAAAGTTTTTTTTTTTTTTAAAAAGATCCTTTAAAATACTTAAACTGGCATTTACTTTATCCTCCTTTAAAAATATAATTACTTCTCTGGGTTTTCCATAATACCAGGTTGCCATGCACCCATACTATATTTTATTAATTCTTTTTTTTGTGTGTGTGGTATTGGGTTTGAACTCGGGACTTTGTGCTTGCTTAGCAGGTGCTTGAGCCACATCTCCATCCCTCATATTTGCTAATTCTAATTTACACTATTACATAATATTTTTGCATCTCTGAAATTGGTATTTAGAGGTCATTTTTTTCTTTCTCAGTGACATACAAAAAGTAGTAAATCTTACATCCGATGGGCTCTTAAATTTGATTAAAACAAGCAGATGAGAGAAACTTCAGTTCTGTTAGGGCTCTTAGCCTTCAGACCATGTTTCCTCTGTGATAGCAAACATCATTCCAGCTCCTACCTCAGACTTGGTCAGGGCTGGCCTAACTTTTCTTTGAAGCAGAGACTGATTACTTTTGCAAGGCTTCACATTCCCAGGAAAGCTCCCCCAGTTGTAAGCATTGTATTTAAAACCATGGGTTTTAGAGACCTCAAAATCTTGATTCCACTCCTTCCTTCACCTCTTTCAAGATTAGTTCTCCTATCACTCTATAAGTCAGTTAATTAAAGGGAAAACTATGTAAAATGATTTATTGTGGTGCCTAGAATATAGTAATAACTCAATAAATGACAGTCCTTATTGAGATAAAAAAATCAAGCTCCTTCATTTGGTAATTGGTTTAATATTTTCATAAATTCTAGAGTTAGGAATTTAAAAATGAACCAGATGGAAGTAGTGCAGTGACAACAGGGGTGTTGTTGGTTTTCTCTCTTTAGTTCCTTTGAGGGATAAACTAGTGGATGAGCTATTCCTAACCCCGTCAAGCAACTTTGTAAGCCAGGGCACTACTGCCTTGAAAGAGTTCATGTGATTTTAAAATATATATCCAGCTCACTAGGATTGGGAGAACATATTTACTTTGGGGAAAAGAAGGGGATTCAGGGGCAGGGCCAGTACAGGGAATAGGAGAAGTGGAAGGGGAGGGTGAGAGTCAGGGGACAGGGTGGGAGAGCAAGTGGGTGTGGCTGAGTCTTAGTCCCTTCCCCTAGGTGATGGGTTCTCAGTGAGAATGGGGTAGAAAGGTATTGGGAAGTGTGGGCAAGTTAGTATTTAGGGTGTGTAAGGGAAGTAAAAGAATGTAATATGTAAGTCATCTTAATGTTTGGGGGGGGTCAATATCTGAAAAATCCAGATCTATTAGTAGGTTGGGATAAAATTTTTCTTGGATGCTAAAGGCAGTGGCCACTGCAGCCCAGTCTCAGTCACACATGCTCCTTGTGAATCCCATGGAGGAGAGAGTACAGCACAGACACTTGGTTGACAACCCCAAGTCACTAATCCTTTTCCTGGGAGTCTTTGGAGTTACACGCACACCACCCTTGAGACACCTCAGAGCTTGAAAGTCTTTTGGTATCTCATGGAGTTATTGAAGACTCCAGTCCATGGAATCAGGGCTGGAACTAAGGACAGATCAATGATGTTCCTAGGACTCAGACTGAAAGGGCTGTGTAGGAATCCTACTCTGTGAGTTTATCCTTACACAGTGTACCCTAGCAACTCCGTCTCCTCACCTTATTCCCAGTCCTGCAGGAGAGGGTTAGTTTTAAGTGGGATTTAAGGCCACAGAGTGGCTTGTGCTGTATTTTAGTTTTATTGGCTGCTCATAGTCCCAGCGTTGGTAATACTCTGAGAATCACAGAGCTGCCTCACTTCCTTCACATCACGTTGCTTATAATCCTACTACTTCTTTCGACATGGATATTGGGATCTGCCTATCTTTTAAAGTTCTGTTGTTGAATGGGCTGGAGGTGTGGCTCAAGCGGTAGAATGCTTACCTAGCCAGCATTAAATCCTGAGTTCAAATCCCAGTATTGCCAAAACAAAACAAAAAAACCTGTGATTGAAATAGGGTAGTCTTTATGTATATGCTTGGCCACTCTTGAACTCTCATTCAAGAGTGCATCTCCCACACCCCTAATTCTCCATTACTCTGCACCCCAATTTGGCCAAATGGTCACCTTCATTAAGCCATGGTGTTATCATGGAAAGAGAATGGGTTTTGGATCCCAGATCTGATTTACATTACCTGTGAGATCTTGGACAATTTACCTGCCACTTCTGAACCTTAGTTTATCTATAAAAATGGAGATGGTAATAACTGTGTCCTTAGTGGGATGTTGTGAGACTTACATAGATGTGGAGAGCATTTAGCAGCTCAAACCAGTCCCCACAGCTTCTTTCACAGTTGTCTTTCATTATCCCTCAAATTAAAGCTTGGAAATCTGCTCAGTTCTCCAGGACCAAGCTGGCTTTTGTATTTTCTGCATTGACTCCTCTGCCCTTCCTTCCAGACCTATGGTTTTGGGGACTTCCTTTTGTCTCCTCTTTCTCGTCTCCACTCTCTTGTGTTCAGAACAAAAGCTCACTCTCTCTCTCCCATCAGTGTTTTACAAATATTTTGGAGAGTTACTTGGCTGAGAAAGAACTAATTTTTATGAAAGGATATCGGCCTTCCATCCGCTTTGTCAATGCTGTGCCTCATTCATTGTATACAATGAGTCCTAATACAGTTTCAAGGCAACTAGCAGCATTGTGAAGATGTTACCTGTTTTAGATTCTAGCTTGAAGATGACACGAACTGTGTCTCTTTAATCTCCTTTCATCCACACAAACCTCAACTGCTTAAGGCACCAATATCTTTATGATGTGTGAATTTGCATCCTGTGAGTCAATAGGGGCCCATTTTTTGAGATGAAGTTCTGGTTCCCTGAGTAAAGCCATCTGATGAAATTCCCTGGAGTACAAACTGGTTAACATGACACGAAACATGAGATTGTCACTATGGGTTTTTTATGACAACCCACTGATAAGCAAATGCTGCTGAAATAACATTGTTTTGGTCATGTAAATATCTCAACAGGCTTCTTGGGGTGGCTCAGCTTTGGTGTCAAGGAAGCACCGCAAGCTTCTGCGTGGCATCCACAGGTAAATGCAGTTTCCTGGTTTGCAGGTGACTTTTATTTAGGCAAAGGACTCTCTTTGGATTTTGCCCATCCAATTTACATTTTGAAAATAGGCAAGAACAAAGTAATTGCTTTGCTATAAAATAAAACAAAATAAAGCAAAGCTTTCCAAATTCCTCCAAACCACCCCCATAAAGAACCCTGTAGAACAATAACTTGTGTATGAGGACTGAGTGTGGATGCAGTTAACTCTAGTTTTCCTTCTGCCCATGGAAACTAATTGAGTTTCCTTACTGTTCTGTCCCTCTGTTTAACACAATAGGGCCGACTCAGTGGCCTGGAACCCACACAAGATGCTGATGGCTGGAGTCCAGTGCTGTGCTCTTCTGGTGAAAGACAAATCTGTGAGTTTTTCTCTTATGGTCTTTGGCATCTAGGGGTTAAATCACAGTGTTTGCTGGAGGCTCCACTGCTGCTTATTCTCTGCTGTCTTGGGCCAGGTGCAGATGAAGGTCTTTGGGAAATGGTGATAACCTTGAAAGGAAAGATTAATAGGCCCAGATAAAAGAGCTAGTATTTCTGCTCATGTAATTCTGAGGATTTGAATTAGATATTATATAATTTCATTAAGTTACAGCACAATGGCCTCTGTCACTCACTTGGACTATATTTTATAACTCAGTTTTAAATACTGTCAAGCCTTATTTCTTATTAAGTCTGAGCTTTGAATTATCTTGAAACTTCTGCTCACTGAGAAAGTGTGACAGATGTGTATCATACATGAAATTGAATGTTTAATATTCTTAGCTATGGCTCAGTAGCCCATTTCTATGCGGGATTCTAGCTCAGAGCTGATCATCAAGTGCTGATTTATTAGGGAATTGCTTGTATGATGTGGTTGATGCTTAGCTCCTCTTGGAACATGGGGGAGGGTTGGAAACAAGTGTGGATTACTGTGAGGCAAGTAGGACAGAAGTCCTTACATTTCTCTTTGCCAGAAGCATAAACTCTGTGTTTTTCATGCATTATATAAGGATCTTTGTGGGAAGTGGCCCAGGCTGGGAAGTGCTACTTCTTTCTTAGAATGCCTCCTCAAGGTCTGTGTTCAGCATGTGGGTGATCTTTCTTAGCCATCTGTTTACATTTTTTTCCCTTAGGGAACTCCCTTTGCCAATGTTAAAGTCATTTTTTGTTTTTAAGGGTATTTGAAATTCTTTTTTTAAAATGTAGTGATATTTGTATGTTAGCGCCCTGTGTGTTTTGACATGATCAGACAAAATGTCCATCAGAAACTGGGAACAGATTCTGCCTCTGTAGAGATAGATGCTCAAGAAGATGAACTTGCCCCCAAATGTTTGTTAGGTTGGTTATGGTTGACCCTGTTCAGTACCACTTGGTTTTTATAATTTTAAGTTTTTAAATTGTGAGTGACTGTATTTGTAACTGAAAGGTAATTTAAGACTACTGTATCATTTCTGAGTAGAAGAACATAATTAACTTGCCTGTTGTTGTATATTTAGGACATGATAGAGATAGTTGTAAACCCAAGTTTCTTTTTGGACTAGATATAAAAACAAAAATACACCAAGCATACTTTATGTGCCAGGCATTTGACATTTGCTTTCTCCCTACTTGGCTGACCTGAATGACAAACTTATCGTTTGGTGTGACACTTTCAGAAGTGGAAAATTTTAGACCAAAACTTTTATGACTGTCTTTTAAATAACTTCTTAGCTTTTATGTACTTTTCTTCTTGAATGATATTTGAGTGATTTAGCCAAGAATGGATTTACATATATGTACTTAAGGCAATTTAAATTGTTCTGGATCATGTAGCTCCTTAACAGTGATTAAAATTTTATTTTTTTAAAAAGAATTCATTCCTGGATCTCAATGATAAAATAAAACCATGTCTACTCACATGGAAGAAACTGAGGTTAGGAGAATTGCATTCATTGTGCAAATAATTGGATACTTTAAAATATGTCTTAATTTTTCTTGATGAAAAGATCATTCACAATTAAGATGGAATAGAAAGTTTCAGTCATTGGTTGTAAAATATAGTGATCCATTGAAGAAGTTTTGTGTTGGCAGTTTTTTCTTTTATACTTTTTTCTGCTTCTGTGGTTCTCTTTCATATTCATTCATTTGGTCCTTTAGCCAAACTGACTGATTGAGGTAGGCCCAACATTGTGCTATTTTTAGAGTTATAGTAACTAATAAGGCAGACATATTTCCCACAGCCAAAGAGTTTATAATCTCACAGAGAAGAGAACAAACAGAATGTGCATATTTAATTCTTTAGTTGCAATATTGATAAGTGCACTGAAGAATGTCAGACTCCACTGACTGTAAGATCAGCAAGCATTCAATTCTCCTTCTCTTCTTGTCCATCCCCAGTACTCAAGGAAGCAACCTCTCTTCCTAATTAAAATGTGAACATGCATAGAATAGAAGGAAAGGAAGAGGAAAGTCTTGGTCTTGGATGACAATTTTGAATGTTACAGCAACTCTGGAAGTACCTACATTCAGACTTTATGTGGCATGAGAGAATTAAATGTCCTTATTACTGAAATCATCTCCAGTGGGTACTCTGTGGCTTGCAGTCAAATGCCCCTTCATCTGGTGCAAAGAAGAGTAGAGTACTTTGAGAATACAGAGCAGAGAGACCTGAGATGCTCCAGGTGGAAGGAATAGCATGTGCTATTCTGTGCTTTTCTAAGAAAGAAAAATCCTTGTTAAATTTTAGAAACTGAAAAGAAGCTTATTGTGGGTGGAAGCACAGAAATGAGACTAAAAGATTAAGCAGTGGCTAGATCACACAGAATCTTAGAGACCATTCTAACCATTTACACTCAATCTTCAGAAAATGGAGGAACTTTAAAACCAGGGAGTAATATTTTCATTGAGGACAGTGAATTGGAAGGGAGAAAGAATGGATGCAAGAATGAGGAAAGGCATGCAGTGTCTAAGCAAGAGTTGATGGCAAGGAAGTTGAAAATACTGTTATGAAATCCTACATACATCTTACTGTCAAGGAGACATATTACCATTTTGTATTACCATTTATGTATGAGAGATGAAGCATTATTACTGAATGGCAACAGAGTGAATGTTATTTAGGGAGATGGGTGAGAAGATTTGAGAGTAAAATGTCTTTATTTTAGTGTTGGACATTTGAGATTCCTATGAAGTACTCAAGTGAGGATGTGTCACATAGGCTGTTGACATATGGATTAGGTATAGGAAAGGAAGTCTTCGCTAGAAAAGTCTATTTAGGATTGTTGCGGCATAGATACTTGAAGTCATAGGAAGCACTTTGAAGGAACTTTGGAATAACAAAAGAAGAGGGGCTAGGATTTATTCTTGATGAACTTCAGAGTTTAAGGATGGGATTGAAGAGGAAGGACTCCATGTGAAGGCTGTCAGAATGGCCAGGTTGAGGGTAGAAAGATCAGGGAAGAGTGAAGCTAATGAAACTAAAAGAAGAAACAGAGGAGGAGAGCAATGTCTTTCCTTCACTAACCATAAGGCTCATGACTGACATCCTTATAAAAGAGATTAACAATAGAAAAGTATAACAAAGGTATTTAGTAAGTTTTCTGTGACATGGGAGATTTTAGAAATGAAAATCCCACTGAACAACAAACAGACCCCTAAACAACAAAGGACAAGAATAAAAAAGAGGTCATGCTAAGTATGGGGAGAGCACGAAACAGGAGGAGGAGGGTAAAAGAAAGAAGTAAAGAAGGTGAATGTGGTTGATGTACCTCCTCAAGAATGAAACAGAATGTTTAAACCTGTTGAAATCACCATAAGAATGGGACTAATGGAGAAAGGAGAAAAATGGAGACTATGAACCAATTCAGGATATTATACATATGTACATGAAAATGTCATAATGAAACTCCTTGTAACTATCTTAAACAAACAAAAATGTGTTTTTTCCAAAATAAAGGACAGAAAGGTAAAATAGGTCCTTTCTAGGGGTTGGTACCAGTGGGAAGGTGGAGGATATAAGGAAAGGGTAAAAGAGGGTTAATAAGGTGGAGATATTATAACTTGTGTGAAAATGGAAAAATGAGGCCTGTTGAAACTATTCTAAGAAAGAGGGGATAAAGGAGAATGATGGAAGGGGTGAATTTAACTAAGATGTATTGTAAGCACTTTTGTAAATGTTGCAATAATATGATAATAAAAATTTTAAAAAGATTTCAACACAAAAAATAAAGAAGAGAAATGAGGACCCAGGGAATACAACATTTTTATGGCTGGTCATACAGAAGTGAGATTAGAGAACCAAAGACTGAGCTATGGTAACAGACTGGGCTTGGGGGAAGCATAGCAAGGCCTGCTTGTTCAGATTTCCCTTGGTCACTAGGCGCAGGGCAGGCCCTGTGGAATGAAGGTCTTAGGGCCTATGTACCATGGAGAATTTTTTCTGAACTGCTTGAGGAAGAAGGGTAGGAGACCATGGAGGTCAGACAATGAACTTCAAGATGCCATATTTTGAGGTCTTGTTCCAAGTCCTGATAACAGTTATCAGGAATGTGAATGACTTTCATCCTTCATCTCACAGCACAAATGCCATTTCCTTAGAGAAGTGCTCCAAGACTTATCAAAGTAAAATGACATCTCCCCACTATTATTTCAGACTCTGTTCCCTCCTTTGAAGTACTTGTGCTACTGTTTGTGATTCTCATAGAAGATCTTCAGGAGAGGCACTGACATCAGATGAAAGGAAAATTCTGTCTCTACAATAATAGAAATAAGACCAAAGCAAAGAGCATGAACTCACAGGCAAAATCTTTAATGCAGACTTTTCCTCAAGAGGAAGTGGGAGGCAGCACTGATAGAAAGGGAGGCCAGTCTGTACCCCCTTTTTCTCCCTCCCCATCAGAGGAAGGAAGAGCCCTTTTATTGGGTTGCTGGGCAGGCTAAAGCCTGGTCATCTTTCACTAGTCATGAGTATGGTGTTTTTAAGAAATTTCTTCCTTCTGTCTTATGAGACTTTTTACCCCTCTGTAAGGTACATGTGCAATAGGAATAAAAAAACAAATAAACAAATGAAATTAGTAAATGAAATGAAAAATAAAAATCATTGCAAAATTTGGTCATTGATTAAGTACATTAAAAAATCCTCAGAAATATGTTTTCATGTCAGCAATAACTAGTTTTCAGTTTTTCTTCCAACCCACGTTATTCCTTTTGAGAACTCTGAGGTTCAGCAAGTACCCTTCCAGCTGATACTCATTATGGGCCTCTGCAGGCCTGAGTATACCTCCAAAGTAATTGCTGAGGAGTGATTTTAACCTAGGCTCACTTGTCCAGGTGGATAAGTGATCACTGTAGTTAAAAGAAAGCAAATCATTTAGTGAATATACTTTGCTAAGGAAAGACTAGC